AAATGAGTTCGTTTCTCTTAACGAAACGATTAGTTATCGTATGGGAACTCCAGTATGGCCGCAAATCGAAAGAAAACGCTTAAAAGATGGAATTCATCTAGTGATGAAATTATACAGCTTGACTGGAAAGAATGGATAGATTTTTTTTCTTTTTTAAATCAACTTATAACCAAATTGTTAGCCAAAATTGACCAACCAGAAGTGAAAGTGGTACCGAAAAGAATAGCGCATATTCCGCCAATGTTTTTGACCATGAAGGACTATATAGCTGGTTTCTTCACATGTTCCTCAGAGTTCTCTTCGGAAACTACACCTGGTGGCACAATCTGAGACCATTTAACTGAACTTAGAGCATTCCAAAGCTAGTCGTGTACGGAAACTAACAACTGCAAGGCTTTTGATAGTAACTCATGGAAGCGCTCAAAGTCATCTGCTTCTGGCTAGACCCTCTTCTTGTCCTGTTGTGTGGCTGTTGGTCCATTGAAACGAAGACTGTAGGTAAGGTCATTTTTCACAGGTGTAATTTTCAAATGGTCTCCCTAGCCTCTTGGATTTTACACTGGTGTACAGTTCGAGAAACTATGAGCTGATGGACCCTCTAGTCGGTCCTTTACAGCCCAGGAACTAAATACTTTTCGTTTACATTCCAGCTAGAGCGAGAGTGAGGAGGTAGAAAGGAATAGTAATCATAAGTCTTGTGTTTTAGCTCATATGCAACAAACATGAACGACGATATAACTTACTTGTATAACACACAGGACACAGAAGAAGCAATCATACCAGCAACAGCGACACGGAGGAGTTTCATCATGACATACAATATCGAGAGGCTCCATCGGGTGTTGGTGAGTATGTAAGTTCAGGAGTCCGTCGATGCCAAGAAATTAACCCTCCGTTTTATGCAACGGTCCTAATCTCCTCCTTTGCAACTGCAAGTTTTCGAACTGGTCACGTCACGTAATATATTAATAAAAAAACACTCTCTGTTTGTAAGTGTGTCAGTATAAGCGTTGGTTAGAAAAAAAGAAATCAACGCCACCTCATTGGCAAAGTAGAGGTTGGGGTTAAAGAATCGAGCCTCTTTGTTTGGGTTATTTGGCAAAACCAAGCATTTAGGTGATGATGAGTTGTGTCTTTGCAAGATGAGCCTGGGATCGGTATTAATGGAATTTGTTTTTCTTGACTGCCTGCGTTTGAACTCTGATCCAGAAGCGCAGACCCTTTCGTCCTTGCACATCAGCAAATAGAATTAATTGAATTTTCTCTCCTTTTCTTAGTGTATACACTATCAGGGAACGACAATCATGCTCCTTGCGTCTTCCCGTTCATTTACAATGGCATGGAATTCACGGAATGCACATGCATTGACTGTAAACACGATAAAGTATGGTGTGCGACGACCAGTAATTATGACAGAGACAGGAAATGGGGACACTGCCAGACAGACGACGATGTCACAGACTGCAGGGATCTTCACAGCCGCTGCGGAGAATGGGCAAGAGACGGAGAATGTGTGGTAACTGCTCCTTACATGCGACGCAGGTGCCCGCGATCTTGTGGTCTGTGTACCCATGGGGGAAATGGGCGAGGAGCTGCATGCATGTTTCCATTTTTCTACAAAAACAGATTTGTGTATGACTGTCTGTATTTTAATAAGAAGACCTGGTGTGCGACGACAACCAACTATAATAAGGACAAGAGATGGGGCTACTGTTTTCCTAAATGTAAGTTTAATTAGTTACTGTGGCAAGTTTAACCTTGGGGCGGGCCTCTCATTTAAAAGGAGACCAACCTGAGCGTGAGCTTGAGACATATTCCACTCCAAAAAGATGATATTCCAAATTAGTATCATCCAACTAGTGGACTAATGCAAATCCTGCATTTTAATTGGCTACGCTACTAGAGGACTATTGGTAATAGTCCTCGAGTAGCGAAATACGCGCAATCGAGCGTGACGCTTTCTTTCGTTTTATTCCCAAATAAATGTTTCTTCACCTTGCATTTGCTAACTTTATTATTGCCTTTTCTGTCCGACTAGTTGGGTGATACTAAAACAATTAGACCCTTCGCCCTCAAGGGCCACGGGTCTAATTGTTAAAAAGACTGCAAAATAAGAGTTAGAGTTACTTTACCGACGATGAAGACGTTGTCACCGAATGCTTTCAACTGGGTGTTAAATTTCCAGATTTTGATCCCTGAACGATTTAAGCCACCAACCCAGTATGACAGCGATTATTCTTTCTGTGCAATCCTTAAAGATTCTCGCATGGGTAAAAACTTGGCGTTGGGTCCTGAAACCCCTTTGTGATACCAAAAATACACAATTCACACTCTATAAGAGACGAAGAGCGTCCTCGTCTCATTGAAATAACGGGATTGCCTCTGCCAACTAATGTTTTCAAAATGAACTTACGAAAGATGAAACTCTAATGGATGAGGGATGCCGAAGCCGCAATCTATGCAGTAATTAATCAGTTAGGTTTTGTAACTTGTAAATAGACTAAATTTTAAAATTATTCTTAGGTTTTGTAACTTGTAAATAGACTAATTTTTAAATTATTCCTAGGATTTGTGATTTCTTTTTTAGATAGGTGACCTCTATTAGTACAGGGTTATCCCCTCGGGTAAAACAATTTGACACAGTACATTATAATTTACTGATAGTTTAATAATTTATATTTATTATTTTTATTATTATTATTATTATCATTATTATTATCATCATTATTCAAGAAAGCACTGAAATGAACTGATGATCTCAGGGAAAAAAACACCTTGAAAAAAAAACTATACTCTCCAGGAACAAGTTAAAGAAATGTCTCAGGAGCATTAAACAATCATATGCTGCAGCATGAACTAGGACATTTGTAAACCAGAAAAGGGCTAAAGCATAACAATAAGGGAAGGCCATGTAACACTTGTACGAGTAGTTAGACACGTTGAACAGCCAAGCTGCCTAACACTTAAAAAACCACGGCAGCAATCGGTGACAGAGCCCCAATTTTAGGTCGTTTTAAGACAGGAATCAGGATCTACTTTAATAATACTAATAATGATAAAAGCGGAGCTCCTCGCGCGTTGAAAGCGCGCGAGCGGAGCCCCATACCTTAGAAAATTTGGTAACCCATCGATCTGAAAATTTTTGGTTGTCACGTGACTGTCCGTACGTACGTCCGCCCGTACGCCAATAACTTGAAAACTAAGAGAGTAGCACCATTACCATAGCTACATCTTTGATTTTGGGCGTCCACCCTATTGTTAATTGACAGCTGTCACAACAAGCTATCCGCTGACCAGTATCACGTGACTATATCGCGGGCTCAGATTTAGAGCCTATCGAGGTTGCGTGTTTTTTTTTAAATGACCGCTGACTAGTTAGCGTGTGAAGGTGCTAGGTGTGAAGGTGTGGTCATGGAAAGACGCGTCTTCCTAGTCTCCGAAGTTAATTTCGTTTTATTGCTTCTTTTGGCTCTGAATATTGAAATTTCTACCTACAAGTCGGACCTAAAGGTGAATTCAATCGAAAGTAATCGGTGTTTCATCGAAACTCCTATCAAATGGAGTCGAAATTCGCCGACATCAACCACG